TGGTGGACAACCTTGTACTCATTCCCTGTCAGCAGCATCACCTTGGAGGTAACCAGGACTCTGACTTCTCCCACTTTGGTTTCTTGTTCTTGAAATTCACACGTATGCAATTCAACTTTGGCTGCTTTTGCTCAGTATTCTGTTTGGGAGAGTCGCCAGTGTTGTTGTGTATAGTGATGGTTCCCTTAATTTCATTTCTGAGACATTAAACCATTGTGTAGACATACCACAATTTGCCAGAACATTCTGTTCATGGACCTTGGGGTTGTTTCTAGTCTGAGGCCATTATGAACAAAACTAGCATAAAAATACTAGTACTATTGCATGCATCTCTGGTAAGTGTACATGTGTGGGAGTGGGATCGTGTCAAAGGGTACTAGTGTAGTGTTAGCTTTGGTAAATACTGTTATCGTGGCCGTACCAGTTTACTCCCAACTGCAGTGTATGAGAGTTCCAGTTGTTCCTCAACTTCACCAATGCTTGGTCTCGTCGGTCCTCTTTTTAGGTCAGCCATCCTGGTGGATTATCTAGCGGTATCTCATTCCAGTGTTTATATTTCCCTGATGATGAATACTGAATAACTTTGGCTATTAAAATGCACAATAGCCTTCTGGATATTTGTGAAATGGCCAAATTATTTGCTCATTTCTAAATATACAGTCTTTTTATTCATATGTAACATTTACATATTCTGGGTCCTTTGTTGGATTTTTTCTGCTTCATGGCTTGACTTCTTGCTCAATGATAATTTGATAATGAGTTAATTGTAGTGACATCCAATTTATCATATTTTTTATTCTCATGGTGTTTTAAAAAAAATGTTTTTGAGAGACAGAGAGTACACGAGCAGGGAAGAGGCAGAGGGACAGAGGATCTAAAGCAAGCTCTGTGATGTCACGACAGCAGCGAGCTGGATGCAGGGCTTGAACTCACAAACCAGGAGATCATGACTTGAGCTGAAGTTGGATGCTTAACCTACTGAGCCACCTAGGTGCCTCCCTCATGGTGTTTTTTGTGTCCTAATAAATCTTTGCCTATTCCAAGGCCAGGAAGATTATCTGTTTTCTTTAGAAACTTTATTTCACTTTCTATACTTAGTTAGGACCATGATCCTTTTGGAGATCATGTTTGTGTGGTGTGAGGTCAAGGTTCATTTTTTTTCCATATGTACATCTTAAATTGATTACTTTTTCTGATTATTGATGGTTGTCTCATTAGGATTTTATAGTTTCTAAGTGTCATTTAATTTCTGCAGTTTTGCTGAATATTTTTCCCTTTTCTTTCACTCTTAAAGGGGAAGTAGGAAGAGACAATATAACCTGGAGGCAATGACAGAGTGAATGAGCACAGTTCTGACCCCAAAGCAGGGAGTTGGGATCACACACCTTCCCCACTAGGATTAGCCTTGCTCAGACCCTTCCCAGGCCCCAGTACAAATCTCCAAAGTGAGCCAACCATAGATCTTTGGTCCTAAATATAAACTGACCAGAAAGATGGCCTCAAAACTGCTTGCGTGTGTTGAAAGCCACAGGTTAAATTATCCTTTGTTGTATCATCACAATGTCCACAGTTATCTTTAGGTAGATTTTGGAACAAAGCTGTTATTTTCCAAATGACTTTGAGGTCATTTGATTTCTTCTGCTTTCTTGTCCACTTGATCACATTCGACAGTCTGGGCTACACTGAGAAATTCTACTTCTTAATCTAACAAGGCCTTTCTTATACAGGACCACCAAACTCTTTCCTTGTGCAATTTCCAGGACCTAATCTTTTTTTTTTTTTTTTTTAATTTTTTTTTTAACGTTTATTTATTTTTGAGATGGAGAGAGACAGAGCATGAATGGAGGAGGGTCAGAGAGAGGGAGACACAGAATCCAAAACAGGCTCCAGGCTCTGAGCTGTCAGCACAGAGCGCGACGCAGGGCTCGAACTCACGGACCGCGAGATCATGACCTGAGCTGAAGTCGGCCGCCCAACCGACTGAGCCACCCAGGCGCCCCCAGGACCTAATCTTAGTAACAGTTACTAATTTCCTTTTGTCAAGTACTTATGTGCTAGGCACCTTGCTAAACACTTTACAAGAATATTATTTTTTAATAAAGTTTATTTATTTATTTAGAGAATCAGAACAGGGGAGAGGCAGAGAGAGAGGGAGAGAGTGAAATTCAAGCAGACTCCACACAGTCTGCACAGAGCCCAACATGGGGATCAATCTCACGAGCCATGAAGATTATGATCTGAGCCAAAATCAAGTCAGAAACTCAACTGACTGTGCCACCCAGGTGCCCTAAAAGAATATCATTAATCTATATACCTACTTCTTCAAAGCCCTTCTTGCCACCAGAAATCACACATTTATTATCTCTTCAGCTGGAGGACAAATTTCATAGAGTCCTGCTCTCTTGTTCACCGCTGTATCAAAACATCTAGCCCAGTGCTTAAGGTATATGGCTACATGAAGGCGGATGGCTCCTTTCAGACCATGGCAGAGTGAAGGAGAATATTAAAATGGGATCAGACATGACTGATCAATTGTTTTCATAGCTATTCTTTTAATATAGTTTGATTAAAGTTTAGAATACCTAAATGTATTTCCTATTTCTTTCACAAAGGATCGTAGTGATGTTCTTGGTCCTTTTTCTGACAGACTTTACCACCTGCTTTTTATCAGTCTCATGTAATAAGAGGAATTTCCTCATGTACCTCACGTAGTAAGTACCAAGTACCTCGTGTGATAAGAGGAGTTTCCACCTTTGCTACTGTCTCTTCTGTTTCCTTTAATCCATTTCTCCAGAGAGGGTCATCAGATTTAAAAATTACCTAAAATAAAATAGTTCCATTGCTTCCGTGTTGTAGTGTGACCACTCTGCCCACCTACCTCCAGTCTTAGAAATTACCTTAGAAAACACAGTGACATTTGCATTGCTGGGGCACCATTTCAGTTTTATATTAGATTACCCAATATTTATAGCATAGACGAAGCTGCTCAGCAGGGAAAAGAATGGAAGCTCTTAGAAACAGTCATTGCTTTAAGTTACATTTTATTTTTAATTAAATGCTATCAGATTAAAAACACATACTGGTATTTCCTCAATCACCCCTTAGTGCTCACCAGAATTCTCCAACAGAAACCTTACTGCTTGGCCTTAGTAGTCCATGAATCCACAAGCGCCTCAAAGGAAAATGGATACTGAGGATTGTAATGAGAGATCAACTTGCACATTCTTATTCATATTCACATGAAAAACCTTACATTAGCTAAACAGTAAATTCTATCATCTGTGTATAAACTTTCCATTCACAAATAGCCAATCTTGTGAAACTGAGTTTAGCAGCCTTTATGTAGGCACAGAGGCTCATAATTTCCTAAGATCCTTGGTTAGACTCTGGACATATCATGGCTTTTCTTTTCCAACCAGAGATAACATTTGTATGTGCCTTGAATTTTCTAGTAGAATCCTTTTAAAAATTTGACAAAGGATGGACAAGCATGACAGTAAACTGATGTTATTTTAGAATGCTCTTTATTTTGAAACTTACAACAGGACATGGGTAAGGCATGTTCACAAGTATCTGTTTGATGTACCAAAGACATGTTCTCACCCTCTAGCTGCTCTTCCTTGCCTTTGTACCTGCTGCTACATACTGGTCCCTACATATCTTCCTATCTACCGTTCTCAGTTATTAAGCACACGCAGACAATGTTTCAGGGACCCACAAGGAGAATCTGCTTCAAAATACAGAGTGAGTGTCAGTGGACTAAGTCACCACGACATCAAAACTCACAGGGAACCAAGGCTGAAGAAGGTGATGAAATCAGCTCACAAACTTGGGACTGTGAGCTTCCAGGGGAACAAAGAACACAATGAAAAACATTTTTTGATGTCTGAGAGAAATGGAATGTATCTACAATTCGTGGTTCTGCATTTACCACTGTTTATAAGTCACTAAAGCTATCTAATATTTTAACAGATTCTAATGTAGTTAGAGTTTTGTTCTCACACCATAGTACAAGAGCGCATGCATTACTCCACACAAATGTCACACACGGAGCGAGCAAAACACAGATGCCTCAGGACTGTCTACTTACACAAGTATCTCTCTGTGGTGGTGGGACAGGGAGGGGAATGACGGGGACTATTTCCCCATAGTGCCCGCTATGCATCAGACAGAGATACCCAAACACCTGTCATCACGAAGAAGGACAAATGCTGCTCCTAAGAGTAAGGTATGGAAAGAAGAAGCTCCAAGCTCCAAGTGGATTGGGGGATGAACACGTAGCCTCAATTTTCAGGGCAAAAAAAGTCTTGGCTGACACTAATAAGAAAGTGTTTATAACCAATTTTCAAAAATCAAAGTATACCTTTAGGTGATGAAAACTAAGTCCTTTATAAATCTACCAGGAATATAAAATAATGAAATGGAAAAGCAAAATCACATGGTGTTTCCATGAAAAGGAGATTTAAATCTTTTGGTTTAAATCAGCCGATATGTTACCATTTACTACAGATTATTAAAATGTGTTTGCTTACGCCCATTTAAGTGCAGAATCTCTGAGGAAAAATGTAGGCATTTTATAAGGAATACTGACTCGTAAAAATTTTAACTGGGGGCACTTTAACAGGTCAGAATACTTACAATTCAAGTACTGCTCTGAGGTGCTCACAACACTTTCCAAAAGAAGCCTTCAGTCTCAGAGAGTACCTCTGTAAGTAGCCCCAACAATTTAGGAATGTGGTTACACATACTTTTATTAGCCACTATTTGCTATTATCAAAGTGTTTAATAAGAGCAGGGAAATTACTATCAACTATATTAAAGATTTCCATTTACCAGCGCTGTGACACACAGTGCAAAGGATCTCCAAATGTTTGCCTTTTATACCAGAAGTAATATATCGTTATTCTCCCAATTCAACAAACCAGTAAATGACTCTTCAGTGAACTGTGACTACCTACAAAAGCAGACTGGCCTCTTCCAGAAGGTGCCGGCTACTCTTCTTACAGGAGATCCTGATCAAGGCAGGCCGGGCAAGTGCTCTGCCCTTTCAGCCACTGCTTAAAGCACTGAAAATGAGAAAACAAAATCAGTCAGTGCCTTTAGGGGCACGTGGAGCCTGAGCTCTCCTGTGCTGCTCAAAGGACATGGTTAACTTCACTTCTAATTCTGATGGGGCCTGGAGCTGCCCAACACTGAGGAACACAGAAGCCTACTCAAGCTAGGAGTGTGCCCCAAGCCTCAGGAACAAATAATCTCCCCTCAGGATCTGACCCATGCACTCTGGGCCTCCAACCTGACCTCAGGGGGACGGCCTAGCCCTTCACCCCTCCACTTGCCCCACACTCCAGCTTCAGCCTTGGCATGTCAGTGCCCTGAGTTCCAGAGGTTGGCATTTTCTTGGCCCTGGGACTCACTCACCTAATAGTTAACCGATCCTCCCCTGCCTGGTCTTGGACCTTGTACACCCCACCAGCTTGCATACTGCAGCCTCGACTGCAGCCTGTCTACCCACTGTGGTCCCAAGTTGCTCGTGGATGGTGTGTTGCTGCTACCAAGCTGGGTGTGTGTGTTAAGTCTGGAAGTGCAGGCACAACACCCCTATACCTGCAGGAGACAGGCCATGCAAGAGACTGCAAGCTGTCTTGACCCCACCTAGTGAATATATTGTATTTATCCCTTTTCTGAAGGGATTAATAAACAGACATGGCAGAGACCTGATCTGTTCCAGCCAGCAGCAGGGGTGCAGAATGAATGCTCACAGCAACCAAGATAACTACCTACAGATCCTGGAAGGGTATAAGCCAGAATCTCCTAGAATCAGGCACAATGGATCCAGTCAATTTTAGCTTTTCTCCTCTAAAATGTCAAACTTCCTATACTGCACGAAACTGACAAACTCTTGCACTGTGCACCTATTCAGCCATATATGTAAGAAGCTACCTTCCAAGAAACTAGTATTATTTTGAATTTCAGCACCAACCAAGTTGATTGATGGAGCCGACTAGGATTGTTCTCCTCCACCCATGATGTGATGGATGGGAAGGACAGTGTGCACACCCCAGGAGGCCTCTCTCCCTCGCCACAGCAGCAATTTTTGGAAAGGGAGACAAGGAACACTGGCTTATAAAGAAAGTGCTTTGAAACCCCAAGAAGTATTGACACCTAGAAAAAAAAGTTCCTTTTTATTTTAAAAATACTTCATAGTCAAAATTCATGAGGAGGATGGCCGGAGAGAATTCTTACCCCTTTGTGAAACTTGTGCCCACATTTTAGTACACGCACATTTTTGGATTTGAATACCTCATGGCATATTTCACAGGAAGCTGCACCCGGTGCCTGTGGGAACAAACGTATTCCAATAATAAAGAATAACTAAATTCCTTTTTACTATATGAGCTCTTCCTACAGTGTGATAATGGTTTCAGGAATAGAACTAAGTGATTCATCACTTACACATAACTCCCTGTGCTCATCCCAACAAAGTGCCTCCTTAATGCTCATCACCATTTAGCCCATCCCCACACCCAATACCCCACCAGTAACCTTTAGTTGGGAACAACTTATTTTTCAACAGCGTTTAAGAAAAAATATAGACAGGGTGGTGTCTGGGTGGTTCGGTCAGTTAAGTATCCAACTTTGGCTCAGGTCACGATCTCACAGTTTGTGAGTTCAAGCCCCATGTCGGGCTCTGCGCTGACAGCGAGGAGCCTGCTTTGGATTCTCAGTGTCCCTCTCTCTCTGCCACTCCCTTGCGCACATGCAGATGCGCGTGCTTTCTCTCTCTCAAAAATAAACGTTAAAAAAAGAAAAACATAGACATACAAAAGAAAAAATATACTTCTGAAGTTCTAATTTTCTCAGAGAAAAAAATATTTTATACGGTTGATAGATTCCCAGGAAATTACTACAAATTTCTAATTATCCGACCTCACACCTAAACTATGGTATGAACACTATAAACCAATCATTCATCTACAGCTGGAGATACAAACGTAAATGATGATCCACACCATGGACTCCTGTGGGGCTGACTGAAATCACTCAAGTCCACAATCCCTGACACAAAAAGCTGGTCACGACTAACATCTGAATAAAAGCAAGTTACAAAACAGTACATATCATATAATCACATACTTAATGTTTTAAAAATAAAGAGAATGGGTGTAGAGAGAGATACCCAGGAAAGAGGCTGGAAAGATACAGAATGTGGACAAATGGTTACTTTTCGTCCAGAGAGATTTAACTTTTTTTCCTATTTTCTAAAGTTTCTATGAATGTAGATTACGTGTGCAAATCAAAACAAAACAATCTGATGGCTCATTCAGCAAACACCAAGGTCAGGGATTGTGTGGGGCGCGAGGGCGCAGAGTTGAATGGGAGAGTCTCCAGCAGGGGCACACAGTCTGGTGAGCACAGACGGCATTTTCTGTGACAGCAGAGCCCGAGAGGCACCCAGGACACCAGGCACAAGTTCTCCATACGACTCACAGCACCTACCCACACTGCACCAGTATTTTCCACTCCTCTTCCCCTCTAAACCCTGAGCACCCTGATGGCAGGAAGGAGCCTTATTCATCTACAACCTTAGCAACTGACAAGGAACCTGGCCCCAAACGGATTCTCCATCAACTGTCAGGCAAGTGCACGGAAGCAGCCCTGGCAGTGGGATTAAGGTCAGGGATGCAGAGGGGGGCAAAAGGCTCTGAAGACCCTGAACTGCTGAATGGGGTTTTCTGTCTCTCCTCTGACACTGACCGGGCAGATGCAGCAGAATGAGGTGTTCTAGCTCCTCTCTGTGGCCCCTGATGGGAGGGTCAGGGAAGCAACAGAGGGGTCAGTCCCAGGGAAAGGAATGGTAAGGCCTCTGCAGAGCTCAGAGCTAGGTTTGGCTCAAAAAACCCAGTTAACTTGACTATTTCCTAGCATGGGAAGATCGCTACAATACATTTCTAAGTGAAAAAAAAAAAAAAAAAAAAAAAAAAAAAAAAAAAAAACCACAAAAAGTATGACTAAATCCACACATACACACACATACAAAAGAGTTTAGAAATACCAACCTCATAATACTGGTTACCTTAGAGACTGGATTTTGGGAGGCTTTAAATGCTTTTTATTTGTGTTTCCTACTATGAACACATATTGGTTTTGTAATTTAAAAACATAAAGCAAACTACTTTTAATCCTTAAAAAACTACCCACGATGATCAAACTAAGTCCCAGTTTGAATATATTTTTTTCTTTTACAACTTTTACAACTTTATTACTATCAACATCAACTGTGAAGCAGAAAGCCATCTCTCTGCAGAAGGTGACTGCTGTCTGTCTGGGGGTGGGGCTGTCCGTGAGGATGCTCTGAGGATCTGGTTGGAGGACCACACAGCCTGTGGCCAGTCAGGGACTGGGAGGCACTCCAGCCAGGCCTTGCAGGAATGTTCTGCATGCTCATAAGCTTTCTAATTGGAGTTAGACACTCTGGGAACTGAATGTATGAGGTCTGGAAAATCTCCAACGAATAGTGGAAAATGAAAATGTACGGGAGGAATAAAAACAAGTTCACAAAAAGATTCACTGCTTAGTTCGTCAGCAAACTAGTACTCTGTCCAATCATGCATCACTGACTCCACTACGGGGCCAAAATCTATTGCAATTTTGATTTCATCTAAATTCTGATACCACAGTTGGACAAAAGGGAAAAAACATGCTTTGCATCAGAATTCAATCTGGAGCCCGTGGCCTTGAGCCACAGAGGTGATGGCGTCTCTTTCAACCACATGTTTGGTCCCTGGTACACAGTCCTGGTGTCGGCTGGGTCTGTGTGGTGAGGATTAGGGAATTAAATGCTGCACACCCAGATCAAATGAGGGAATGCTGGCAAGCTGCCCGAATCATCTATGCCTCAGTTTCCTCATTACAAAGACAATTACAATGTCTTCTCAATTGAGATCATCGATGCCACAGTACTTTATAAAAAGATCTATATAAATATAACATTCTAGAACATTTATTGTTCTGAAAGAACAATAAACATTTAAAATCTGTGTATCAAATTAAAGGCAAGTTCAGCCCATTCCAGTGTCCTACCCACCCACACCCCCTTCCAGGCACTCAAGGGGAGAGGGAAGGGAAGCAGCCAGACCCTCCTGGACACACAGCTTGACCCTGGTAATTCTACTGTAGCACTTCATCCAGATAGCAACTTCAACAAGCAGGTAAGAGCTAAGCTCACAGTGTTACTAAGTGACAAAACCAAGTCTGTGTGATTCCAAAGCCCGTGGTGACACAGCATAAAATGATTCAAAAATCATTTTCCTGAACTACTCAAAATATCACATGTGATATAAAAAATTAACTTGTACTTGACTGTCTGAAGGCCCAGTTTCCACAATGTGGCTGGAACTTTCTTGGTGTAGGCGCTTCTCCCAACAGGAGCCCCAGGTTCCCATAAAAGCGGGCCTTACTGGTCACAGACTGTCCTAATGGGAAACTCAAGTACATCTAAATTTGGTTTCTAATTTTTTTTTTCAGTAGGCTCCACGCCCAACGTGGAGCTCAAACTCATGACCTTGAGATCAAGAGTCACACACTCCCCTGACTGAGCCAGCCAGGCGTCCCAGGTTTCTAAATTTAAGATTAAATAAATTAGGTCTAGAAATGAAGAGAATGGGGCTAAAATTGTTAAATTTTGTCTCCCTCTTCTTCTTCATTAAAAAAACAAACTGAGGGGTGCCTGGGTGGCTCAGTCGGTTGGGCGTCCGACTTCGGCTCAGGTCATGACCTCACGGTCCATGAGTTGGAGCCCCGCATCGGGCTCTGGGCTGACAGCTCAGAGCCTGGAGCTTGTTTCGGATTCTGTGTCTCCCTCTCTATCTGACCCTCCCCTGCTCATGCTCTGTCTCTCTCTGTCTCAAAAATAAATAATGTTAAAAAAAAAAAAAACAAAAAACCCCCAAAAAATACAAACTGACCACACATACAATACTCACAGGGATATCTTCTGCCTTCTGTCCCTTGGTTTTGGGCAACGGTCCAGCAGTCAGGGAGGATGGGCCCTGGGAGGCATTGGTCACAGTAGCAGCAGAGCTGGGCTCAGACAACCTCTTGTCCTTTCCTGAAGTTGGCTGCAGAGATAATGTGGGGAGTGAAGCAAGTTCAGTAATCCAAAAGCTTGCCCGTCTTCTGTCTTTATTGAAGTGTTCTCCACATTTTGGTTGGATGCATTTTTTTTTTTTTATAAATTCTCTATTTTATAAATAAAGTGGACCATTTTATTGTATCTGGATGAAACACTGACCTTTTTCTTTTTCTGTTCATCTAGAATGTGTTCTGTCACTCTTTGGACAATTTCATCAATACTCAATCCTGACAGTGAGTTCTTGTTCTTGTTTCGCACTTTTTTAATAAAACCAGCAAGCTCAGTGCTAAAAAGAGAAAGCGGACACAAATGACAAGAGAAACTCAAGGTTTTCTACTGTAAAGAAATACTGTGTGCCGATATTAACAGCTAAAAGAAACAAACCAAATACATACAAACAAAATAAATTTGTAAATAATAGCAACGGTATATAAAAGCAGGGGAATCACTCCAAGCAGTTATGAAAATTCCGGTATTTCTAACTATTTAACTAGAATGTCAAAGTAACAGTGTATCACTAGATCTACTTGAGATACCCATCTCTACCTAGAAACCTGACTTCCTACAGCCTGGGTATATTGTAGCTTTATGCTAAATCACTGACTGAGCAGACAACATTGGTTCTGACTTGAAATCAATAAAATCTCTTTCTACCTAAGAGGAAATTAGATTTGCTGACTGCCTTCTTTAAAAAAATCTGACAAGGTTTTCCAAGCCTGAATTTTTCACAAGTAGCAGTGGATGGAATTAAACCATTAATCAACAGGAACTTGTTATTTGTAGCACTAATCCCTCAAATGTTTTAACTTTCAGAAAATTAGGATGCATTTCTACTTGGTGGTGTAAACGCTCCCAAATTTAGTCAGGATTGCAAACAATTTATTTCTAAGGTACTTTGGCTAATTACAACTTGAGTATTTTTACAATTGGCATGGGAACTGCTATTGAGAGAACTTAAAATGTTTCTCAAACTTAGGCAGGGCTAAATATGCCCATGTGCATATACCTGTTTTCAAATAAGAAGGGCTCTGCCAACAGATGCAAAACATTAGTTCTGCTCAATCATAATTTAACCACTACTTTGCTTCAAACGTGTAATTTCAAAACCTGTAACTAATATCAAAGACAGAAATAACATGGGACAGAGCACAGAGGGTCATCCAGGGATGTGCATTCCTCTTTTCCTAGCTGTATCCCAGAGACACTGCCTTTCCTTCTCTCCTGGCTGAGACAAGGAATACTTCTCCTCCTTCATACCAACCCAGACAGCAAGGCCAGAGGCTGGAGGTGGAAACACTGGCTGAGATAAAGCAGCGCTCCCTACCCTCAGAGGACCCTCTGTAACACACCCACAACCCTGATTCACTATCAGATTACATCTAGTCTTTCGGACCGCACACCTCTAACAAATCAGAGGTGTCGAGCAAGGTCTAAGTTGCTGCCACTTTCCTGGCTATGTGGTATTTCTTCGCCTAAATGATATAAAACTAGTGTTTTGCAGTTTCTTGTTTTTGTTTTTTAATGTTTATTTTGAGAGAGTGAGAGAAAAGACAGCAGGGGAGGGGCAGAGAGAAAGGGTGACAGAGAATTCCAAGCAGGCTCTGCAGCTGTCAGCATAGAGCCCGACATGAGGCTTGAACTCACGAACCGTGAGATCATGACCTGAGCTGAAACCAAGAGTCAGATGCTTAACCAACTGAGCCACCCAGGTGCTTCTACAGTTTTATTTTCATTTAGGGGTTCCATAACTAGGACTAGAGCATGTTAATGATCTCATCAAAATCTAAGCAAATTGCCCTGCGTTCTGATGAGTATGGAGTAACCAGTGTTCAGTGTTTTCAATCTAGATATGTGCATCAAAAGGTTGGCTTGAAAATGCTCACCTCCATGTTTACAAAAAAGGGAAGAAATGTAGCACCTGTCTTTCTGAATAAAACGATTATGGAGTTGTTTCCACCTCAGCCCTTAACTGGCCAAAATGTTATCTGATCAGGAAACCTCAGTTCATTAAGATATTTAACAGAGTCACAGACAATTTATAGCCATACCTGTTGTAACATGGGAATACCACTGACAGGTGCTCAATAATACTATTGAACGGCTTTTTTGGAGACTGGCTTGACCGAGTAGCACGTCCTGGTAGTTTCTGATCAGCCACAAGGCTTTGTTTTGACAGAGTTTCCTGGCCCGTGCTCTTACACTCTGGCAGCTGGGTGACTCCAGGCTGACAGGAGAGCGATCCCGACAATGGAGAAGAGGAAGCCCCCACTGGGCCATCGCTGGCGGAGACCAGACTTGAATCCTTGGGACCTGTTGTTTGGTTTCCAGTCCCACGATCTGCAGAAGTGTTGGCAGCAGCAGTTCCGTGATCGTCATGGCTTGAAGACTCGGGAAGTAACTTAGGAGGAATCTGGGAGGAACACACCACAGTTGGATCACTAAGAGAAACATGTGTGGACAAACACTGACGAATAAGCACGACTATAATAAACCTGGGTGCTCAAGTGCATGGGGAACTTGACTCCAATGAATTAAATGTTTTTGTTTTTAAAAAACTGCTGGTTGCCTTCACTTTAAAATGAGCTTCTCTGGGGGCGCCTGGGTGGCGCAGTCGGTTAAGCGTCCGACTTCAGCCAGGTCACGATCTCGCGGTCCGTGAGTTTGAGCCCCGCGTCGGGCTCTGGGCTGATGGCTCAGAGCCTGGAGCCTGTTTCCGATTCTGTGTCTCCCTCTCTCTCTGCCCCTCCCCCGTTCATGCTCTGTCTCTCTCTGTCCCAAAAATAAATAAACGTTGAAAAAAAAAAAAAAAATTTAAAATGAGCTTCTCTGGGCTCTGCACTGCTGGTCTCCCTCTCCCTCTCTGGAGCTCCTTCTCAGCTCTCCCTGCAGTGCTTACACCTGTTTGTGCCTTAATGTGGACGCTCAGCTCCTTATGCTGTCGGGGGAGGGGGGTGCATCTCCAGCCCCTGCTACACCCTCTCCCCAGGACATTTCACACTCTCTTATGCCTCAGAGACTACGTGCTAGGTACTAATAATGGCCGCTTTTTACAAGATCCTAGTCTAGAATGTTTGCCTGAGATCCAAACCTGCAAATTCAAACTCCCTTATTAGGCAAATCCACTGGGTGATTCCAAGGACACTTAAACTCAGTGTCTCCAAAAGCAGGCTCAGCTCGGTCTCTGACCCTGCTCTCCCTCCAACCCCACAACCACTCTCTGATCCATGACATGGCTGGTGACAGTGAGCCCCTCTGCCACTTCATACTGCGGGCAAGCTGACAGCCATCAGGAACAGCGCCAAGTCATCCCCTTACTTGAAACCTGCATTGGGTTCTTAGTGACCTCAGGAAAAGTCAAACTGCTGAACACACCTTACAGAACAAGGTTCCCTTCGTTCTGGCCCTTGGGTCCTTTTATATTTCTCACCAAAGCCCCCCTCTGTCATACTAAACTTCTTTTATATCCATGAAAGAAGTGTTCCCTATTTTCCTAGCCTCCAAATATGCTGTTTCTTGCATTTGAACACTCTGACCCTCCAAATATCACACCATCCACCCCTCCTCAAACACACACCCATGTCCTCCTTTTGCCTGGTTAATTCCTATTCCAGATCTCTGACTCACTGAGACCTCCAACAGGGAATCTTCTGCTGAGGTCTGGACCTCTTCGTTAGGTTAGTGCCTCCTAATTTATGCTGCTATAGCATTTTATGCTCCTATGAAAAACCTTGGCACACTTTACTTGTAATTATGGGCTTAACATCTCTCTTTTCCCAAACCCATATGTCCTTTGAGGGAAGAGACCGCATCCAATCTTCATCACCACTAAATACCCAATGAATGAATGGGGGAGAAATGACACACAAAATTAATGGTTTTTAGGGTAATATTTATTATTCAAGTGCCTGGCACCCTACGAGTTCCCAAGGTTTTGGGTATTAACATTTTTTTGTGTGTTTATAAAATTACATAAGCTAGAACTAAAAGTTAGTAGTGAATATGCTGTTGAGATCTCACATTTTTTTCCCTTCCATGTCTGCCATGAAAGTTTGGAAACACTATAAATGATACGTGAGCTTTAATTCTACATAAAACTCTACTTCTTACTCAGTTCAATGGAGAAAAAAATGTTTTTCTATGGAGAGAAGAAACTTTGGAACTCAATAGAATATTTTACTCAGTTCAAGGTGGCTGACTTTTAACATTTTAAACACAGTTTTGGCAGACGAAACCACAACTTGAATGCTTACTGCGCAAAGTACTGACAAGCCAAAGCCTTTCGAGATCAGGCTCCTGTGTGCAGGGAGCCTGTCACCTCAGTTAAGGAGACTGAGTGCATGTGACAGAAGGGCTACAGGGTGAGGGGCAAATGAGGGCCGCCTTGACCAGGCTTTCAGGTACAGACACAATGCCAAGAGTGAGGCTAGTGCTCCAGGCTGGAGGACAGTTTAGGCAAAGGTCTGGCAGTAGCAGGAAGGTGCAAATCAGGAGCTAAGGAAAATAGTCTCCTTACAGCAGACTACTTCACAAATAGGTTTTAATGTTGTGCCAAAATATTCTGAAACCAGCTCTAATCAACTCTTGAATAGAGTCCTTCTTTAAATTCTTACAGTCTGATCTCCTTTGGGCTTCAGCCATTTTAGTATTGGCTGAGCATCTGCTCTGTGTCTAAAGAAGCAGTATGTACCCTAGAAGACAATAAAGTGATACCTGGTATAGCCATTTTTAAAGTCCACAATATCAAATTCATGTTTTTCTTTACTGTGCTGCATAGTTTAAAATATAAAGACAGGTTTGGCAGTCACTATTATTCAAAAGATTTTTTAGCAAATACCTCAAAATAGCAGTAAAATATGACAGACCTAACCAACAAAACCTTTGTATGTCTCTGTATTTGATGAGGACACAGATCTGAATTTTGGTCTTATGCCCACAAGTATCCAGGAATAAGACTAACTCTGAGGTGGTGTCAGTAGAGAGAGCTGGTCTAAACCACAGGCACCTGCTCCTCTTAGATTATTCGTTCAAATGCAGAGAACATGCCAGCATCCAGAAAAGAAGGCAGATGTACCAGCCCTGTGTTCACTTCAGTCCTGTCCTTAGACACTGATGTAGAAAGACTCCTCTTCCATTTACGTAAGAATGTTTACTATCCAGCTTGAAATGTTAACCAGTAGCACCAATAATGAAAACATTAAGGCAATCTCCCAGAATACAAACAATAAAAAATTACTTGGGCCCAAATAAGGAAGAAATTGTGGTGACAGAAGCTGTGACAGACTTACTGTGCTACAGACAGGAAGTGAAAGGTCAGGAATCTGCACTCTAGAAAGTTCACTGAGCCGAGAGCCATTTTTAATTGCTTGAATTTGTTCTTCAAATTGAGACTGTAGGTAGAAGGAAAAGTGTTAAGTTTTTCTAATAAATTCCCAGGGGAATATCACAATTGTCAATTAATACTTTTTTCCTTACTATATATTTACAAATGGTCAACAATTTTCCAGGAAATATAACGGAGATGCAAGGTATCAGAACAATTATTTCTTGTAAGGAAAGAAACTCAAAATGAGACCTCATTAATCAGAATGTTCTAAAGCCTTATCAAATGGAACTTCTCTAATCTTATCAATTAAGGGCAGAATTTAAGACAGTTAATTAAGAAAACAGCATTACTTTCAGGAAAAACTCTTCCTAATAATTACAATAAAAAATATATATTATCTTTAACAGCTCAAAAAAGAAAGTTTCAATGACACTAGCCTCTCCTGAGAACTATAATCATCATCTAGGTTTTGACAGAAAATATTTTGTAACTTACCTTTGCTTTCTCAATTTCTTTTCCAACCTTACAAAGAAATGATTCCCATGAATGTACATCAGACTCCGTATCAGGATATGCTGCAGAATCACTGAAAAAGCAGAGAACCATGAAACCATTTAATGTTTACTTTAGAAATGTTTTAAAAGTTAAAAGCACTGAAGTGTAAATGACAACATTTAAACACGACAGAAAGATGTATTTCACATGACCACACACACACACCAAAACCTATTTTTAAATTATTTTATTTTATTTTATTTTACATTTATTTATTTTTGAGAGACAGAGCACAAGTGGGGAGGAGCAGAGAGAGAAGGTGACAGAATCTGAAGCAGGCTCCAGGCTCTGAGCTGTCAGCACAGAGCCTGCGGCAGAGTTTAAACTCACAAATAGTGAGACCATGACCTGAACCGAGTCGGATGCTTAACTGACTGAGCCGCCCAGGCGCCCCTCCAAAACCTATTTTTAAAGAATTATGTATCTTACAGACTCACCACTAGAAACAATTTAGGAAATATTAATTGCTTATCTAACCCAAACCCCTAAGCTGGTGGACAGAGAGCAAACATTCTCCTTAATTTTAATTTCTTTCCCTAAATTTGAAGATTTGACCATTTTTCACTTAACATCTTTGTGTTTAACATCAAAGGGTGTTTTTACACTAAAAAAAATTATAAGGCAGCCTGGAACACTTGAAACATTCCAATAAAACCCACATCGTTATTGTAAAATAAAGAGTAGGGCCTGACACACTGGTAAGTTATACCTCCACACCTTTACTGAAAGTGACAGACAAGCTTTCGAACTCCTAACTGGGAAGATTAATAACACTATGAATTTGTGATTGTGTCAGCTCTCCTTACACATCTTTTTTTTTGTTGTTTATTTATTAATTTTGAGAAAGAGAGTGAGAGTGAGCACACACACATGAGTGGGGGAGGGGCAGAGAGAGAGGGAGAGAGAGAGAGAATGCCAAGCAGGATCTGTGCTGCTGATGGGGAGCCTGATGCGAGGCTCGATCTCACGAACCTTGAATCTTTTTAAAAAAAAAAAAATTTTTTTTTAACGTTTATTTATTTTTGGGACAGAGAGAGACAGAGCATGAACAGGGGAGGGTCAGAGAGAGAGAGGGAGACACAGAATCTGAAACAGGCTCCAGGCTCTGAGCTGTCAGTACAGAGCTTGAACTCACGAACCGCGAGATCATGACCTGAGCCGAAGTCGGACGTTTAACTGACTGAGCCACCCAGGCGCCCCACGAACCTTGAACCTTGACCTGAGCCGAAACCAAGAGCCAGACACTTAACTGACTGAGCACCCGGTTTTCTTTATACATCTTAAAGAAAACCCAGAACATTTCCTTTTACGTCTTTTCTCTTTTGCTATCCTTTGGTGGAATGGGAAAGTTAGCAGGGCATCCCTAAGAAAGAAGCTACGTGTCCTATGAGATTTAATAAGGAAGTCAACACTGTCAGATGAAAGGAGGTCTGAGATCTCCGTTTCTCAGAGGCACCACAGTGCACGAGGTCAAACACTGGCCTTTCAGAGCCCCTGGGCCTCACTTCAGCTGCACTAGTCTTATAACCCGAGTCAGCGTCTTAGTTTTCCTCTCATTAGAAAGGTTTTCTCATGTGAAAAAAACTAAATCTTGAAAAATGAAGAAATAACAACACATCCAAACTTTTTCTCGTGACCCACAGAACCTGTGGCTCAACACCGAGGGTTTGAAATGTAAGGCAAAAAGCACAGGGAAGGATGAAAAACCTGACTGTGGAATGATAAAAAGACCAGATGAAAATAATCCCTTGTGTGAAAATCCACACAGAATAGTGCTAGAGACTAGACTGAGGAAGACCCTCTAGAATTCCCAGGTAAACCTTATTCCAAAATCAAAGCTAAACAAACAAAAACAGGTAAAGATTATGAGAGTTGAAAAAGGACCATAGGTGAGTATCTTCTGAAGTGACATTTCCATACTCTATCATTAAGACTGTTAAGTGATTGTTCTTACAGAAGGTAATTGTTTAAAAAGCTTGAAAATGTGATCTTCACTCCAGAAATTTATTGCATGGAAGTGATTAATAACGTGCATAAAAATGTGGCTACAAGGAAACTCACTGAAATGCAGCTTTTCTTAACAGTGTGCAAAGAACCCAACTATGCACCACCACAGTGGGGTTTAATAAATCATGACACATTTGTATGCTGGAATACTATCCAACTTTTCAAAATTAGGTTAGAGAAATGTCATTATTGATACGAAAGGAAGCTTCCTTTATATTACTTAGTAAAAAAAAAAAAAAATATATATATATATATTTATAAAATTTTGTTTTTTTCAAATACTTAATGGTTTCTTCTAAAATACTAATTAGTTACACATTAATTAAGAATTATGGATAATCAGGGAGTTTGGGTGGCTCAACTGGTTAAGCATCCGACTCGATTTTGGCTCAGGTCATGATCTCACGGTTCGTGGGACTAAACCCTACATCAGGCTCTGTGCTGACAGTGAGGAGCCTGCTTGGGGTTCTCTCTCTCCCTCTGTTCCTCCCCTACTCTGTCTCTCAAAAATAAATAAATAAACAATAAAAAAACAATTATGGATAATCGTTATCAGTTTGGTTTGTATATTTTGATTTTTCTGCAACTGAACATGTATTGATGATGTATAACTATTAAAAATAAAATGGTCCTGAATAATGTAATGACTTTTTTGTCAAATCAGCTCTAATGTGGATTTCCTACACGACATGCTGGGAAGCACACCCGTGACACCACACAGTACCTGCTCAGGAGCTTCAGGTACTTCAGATACGCTTCTGCTTGTGATTCCATGATCTGTAATTTGTACACTTCTGTCTCCTTCCAGTTTTCAAGCACAGATACCTACCATTAGATTACATAACAATGAAGTATTTTCAAACAGTGAAACTGAAACTATCTTAAGGTTGTTAAAACGTAAACATTCTAAGCCACTTTCCAGTTTCTCCTTAAATGACAGATGATGACAGAAGCACTAGAACTTGCTTATGTAGTAATTCACAAAAGTCAACATGAATTAATTCAAACTTTTGGATTTGAAAACAGAATAACATAATGACAGGAAAATTATTTTACCTTACAGAGTACTTTTCTCAGATACTAAACCTTCCACATGGCTTACTGCTTAAGCATGTACAAACACAGAGCCAGGTTCCCTGCATGTATAGGCCTGATGAGCATTATCTGTGGTCCTGTCCCTGGTAAGCAGAGGGCCAGGGGTCTGCACAATGACCCCCAGGCTGCACGCTATCAAATTTAAAGGCCTCAAAGAAGTTGTTCTCAGTATGAGCTTCAAAAGCCTCTGGGGAATGTTTTTTGGTTTTCCCACAAGCCTATGGGCCATTTTTGTAAGAGGCACTGCAAGAAATATAGAACTGCTTTCTTTTAATACAGGTGTCAGTAACCTTCACAGGGCCCACCAGGCAGAAGGGCTGGCCAAATGGTGGTAAATGGGACCTGACCAAGCTCATCAATATACATGTAGGCATAGGACTCATATAATATAGGCACTTCAGCTTTTCTTTCCCCATCCTTTCCTTAGAAGCAGCTGCATAGTCAATATTTAATCAGAAGTCCCATGTCTGTGGATTATATAAGCTAAGTCTTTTTTTTTTTTTTT